CCTCGCCACCTAACAGGCTTCTCAGCCTTGGCCCTGCTGGCCTCTCAGCAATGGGAGACTCCACTACAGTCACCTAATCCACCAGATGGAAGGAACCACGGCTGGCAGGGACGGAAGTCTCCAGATGGTCCGATAGCCCTTGGGGAGCAAAACCAACCTCTCTGTTGTGTTGCTTTTGCCTCCTTAAGCAAGCAACTGCATTTGTCATTCGTCAAGTGCCAGGCATTCACCTGAATACCTGCAGGTGATTCGTGGTCCTTGTGATAATCCTATAGCAGGCAGCCTTGTCCTCTCGCTGTTCTGCAACAGGGAAAGGGCAGGGGCTGGCTGTGGCCACAGAGTAGGATCCTTTCAGCTCTGGGGAGTGGGGCGAGCCACTGGGTGCCTCAGAGCTCAGAATGTCTTGGACTTATCTGGGAAGGCAACAGAGGATAGTCCATGGATTTGGGACCTTGCCACTCCTGGGAGAGACCCGGAGGAGGCTCCTGACGCTTGGCTTTGGCAAGGCCTTGCATCGGCTGCTGCAGCTTCTTGGGAAATGAATCAGTGGATGAAAACCTCTCACTGTCTGTCTCCCTCTCTCCTTTCCTCACCAGGTCATTCTGCCTTTCAAATAAACCTTATAATAATAATAATAACAACAACAATAATCCTGGTTCTCCTTTTCATCCCCACTTTCTGATCATGTATAGCCTGGGAGGCATCCAGCTGGTCGACCTGGAATTCACTTCCAGATCCCTGCTGTTCACGCTAACCCTGGCTTTGCAGGCAGGTGGGGAGTGGTGACCTTGTGGGTGTGGGATTCTCTCTCTCTTCTCTCTCTCTCTCGCTCTCCCTGCCACTCTACGTGCCAGTGGGAAGAACATGGAGTGCGGATAGTAAAGCAAGAAGAACCTGAGCTTTCTGGAAGCAACTGCCAGAGACCAGCGCTCCTGCATTAAAAGGCGCAGACCCTGAAGGGTGTCTACATGGGAGGGGCATGAGCAGGGACAGACATCAACTGGGCAGGCAGGGTGGGCCTGAAGGGCCGAGACCCATAGCCAATACTTCTTTTGGGGTTGATTAGTCCCCCTGCTGAGGCATCCATAACCTTGGTCAAGGCCTTAGTTTGCAGGTTGAGATGGCCCCAGGAGATGGCAGAGGCTCCGGGGACAAACTCTGGCTGCTGTTGGGCTCTTCCCCGTATAGAACAGCAGGTGGCAGCACTAGAGGATTTTCAAAACTAAAACCAAAAGATACAAAGTCCAAACTTCAAGTGTGTATATACCAGCCCTGCGTTTGCACCCCTGCGTGCCCGGCTCCTCTCCAGGGTGCAGCAGACAAGAAGCTGGCAGAGGCAGCAGAGCAGCCTGGCACCTCCCACCCACAGGGGAGATCTGCAGTGATCTTGAGCTCGGCTTTGTCCTGGCCCAGGCCCATCTTTTGCTAGTTTCTGGGGGGGATGAGCTGGCAGATGGAATCTCTCTCTCTCTCTCTCTCTCTCTCTCTCTCTCTCTCTCATATGTGTTTATCTGCCTTTCTAATAAAATGAACACTTTCCGGCTTGGGCCTTACGAGATGGCTCCGGCAAAGAAGGGCGGCGAGAAGGGCCGTTCCGCCATCAACGAGGTGGTGACGCGGAAGCACCCCATCGACCCCCACAAGCGCATCCATGGAGGGGGCGTCAAGAAGCGAGCTCCTCGGCCGCTGAAGGAGATCCGGGAGTTTGGCGTGAAAGAAATGGGTACTCCAGACGTGCACATTGACAGGAGGCTCAACAAAGCTATGTGGGCCAAAGGAATAAGGAGCGACCCATACCGCATCCGCATGAGACTGTCCAGAAAACGTGAGGATGAAGACTCGCCAACAAGCTCTAGACTCTGCTTACCCACGTGTCTGTCACCACTTTCAAAAATCTACAGACTGTCAAAGTGCATGAGAACTAAATAAAGTTGTAAGACTGAAAAAAAAGCAACAAATAAAATGAACATAAATATTTTTTGAAAGAAGATCTATGTTTACCTGCAATTTTGCTGTTTTTCTTTCTTCATCTGGTTTCACATCCCTTCCACCTGAACAACTTTCCTTAGCATCCCTCGTAGCACAGTCCTGCTGATGACAAAATTTCTTTTTTTCCATCTGAAAATATCCGTGTTTCGTCTTCTTTCTGGAAGAATATTTTTGTTAGAAAAGCAATTCTGAGGTGACAGTTGCTTTTCTTTAGCATTTTTTTTAAAACGTTGCGCTTGGGCCGGGGTCATGGCAGAGCCGTGCCTGTGACACCAACCATTCAATGTGGGCACCAGCTCAAGTGTATGACACTCCACTTCTGATCCAGACCCCCGCTAACACACCTAAGAAAGCGGTGAGGACGACCCAAACGCTTGGGTCCCGCCACCCATGTGGGAGATCCTGGCTTCAGCCTGGTCCAGTCCCAAACATTGTGGCCGCTAAAGGAGAGAACCAGCAGATGGAAGATATCGCTCTATAGCTCCCTCTCTATAACTCTTTCAAATAAATGAATACTTTTTTTAAATGCTTCACTGTCTTTTGGCCTTTGTTGTTTATTTTTTTTAGATATGTATTTTTTTTCATTTTGAATTTCTGAAGTATGTGTTACAATTTCATATAGACTGGGATTTCCTCCCCCCAAAACTCCCACCCCCCAACAGATTTTCCCCATTTTACTGTAGTGGTATAATCTTTCATAAGGAATTATAATCCCATCAGTCTCTTATGTAAGTGTATCCCAACATTGCTGGTACAGACAGACAGTCCATGTTGTTTATTTTTTTAAGATATATTTATTACTTGAAAGAGATTATTTGTCTACTGGTTTACTTCCCAAATGCCTGCAGTGGCCTAGGCTGGACTCATGTCAGGAGCCTGGAGCTTGCTCTGGGTGCAGGGGCCCACGGCCATCTTCCTCTCCTTCTCAGGTCCGTTAGCAGGGAGCTGGACAGAAAGTGAAGACGCTGGCTTTTTCACTCTTTCTTCTTCCTCCTTCTTCCTTTCCTTTCCTTCAAAGAATGTGGGGGAATGCCCAGGGCCAGAGCCTCAGCACACAGGCCAGGGGCCCTGGAAGACAGAGCCACGTGGCCAAGGTGGTCACCCAGGCTGGCGAGGAGGCGTCCTGGGTCTAGAGCCACAATACGTGGGACAAGGTGCACGTGGGAGATATGCCTGCTCACTCCAGTGGAATAGTCAAAGATTTCAAATACCTCTTCAAAAGGCACAGGATGAGCAGCTGCCGTCTCGGCCTCCTCTGCGTTAAGGCTGCAGCACTTTAAGGCTGACATGGCCCAATGATCTCTCTTGACCCCCTCTAGAGGCTGTTATTGGATCGCGGTTATTGGTCATATGACACTAATCTTAGAAACCACACTATTGCTTCCGGCAGTTTGCCCTACACTTCAAGCCAACTTCTACAGCATGTCACCAAATAATCAGGGACAACCAATACGTCTTAGAAAAGTATTTGCAGATCGGAATGGCAAGCCAAGGACCTGACATCAGGGTCCTAGGCAGGCAGCACCCATGGGGTGCCACCACACTGCTCTGGTTAGAGGCTAGATAACAGGGTCCTAGAAGACAGGCTGCGCCAGTGGCACAGCAAAACACCGATCTGGGAGCAGGCAGGCCCGGGGCCCATGGGTTCTAAGCAGGCTACACCCACGGCAGTCCTGGGCTGGCCATACCTGTGGTGCTCTACTGTGCTTGACCAAGGATTTGGGGCCAGGATCCTGGAAGACCTCCACTGATGGCCTCTGGTAGACCAAACACCTGATGAGTACCAACCAGGCCGTGTTACCAGTTTGTGAGCATCAGGCTAAGGTCCCAACAGGTTCTAGGTGATTGCACCCATGGCACCCAACCACACTAGGTGGATGGGGAGGAGACACTGACGGCCGTTAGTGTAGCCAAGAAACTTGAGGTTTCACTTCCAGTTGATCCCATAGGTGACATGCTCTCGGACCACAAGGACCAGACACCGGCGCGTGTGTCCTGGCCTCGGAACACACCGTGCATGTTTGTGGCAGCTTCTGCTTTGACTGCTGTGTAGGAGAGGCTCATGCCCAGGTACGCACAGGATGAGTCAGCCTGCTCCTGTGTACAATGGAGGCCCCGTACACCACGCTGAAAGACAAAAACACCCAGGAACTTCTCAGAGTGGTGTGGCGGGAACACAGCCAATGGAAACCCCTGCAACTGTTCTGGCCCCCGAGATGGATCCAAACCCAGGACATCCAAGGCCTCAGATCAGCAGGAAGTAGCTACATAAGATAAGATGAATCTATATCCTTTAGCAATACTTAAGAATAGAGGTCAGACTTTGTGCCCTAATCAACTGTGTAAAGATTATCAAAATAAAATAATAACAAACAAACAAAAAATAATGAGGGTCAGAAATCTCAGGAGGGAATGAAATGGGACAGAGAGATAGCAAACTTAGACTCACAAACGGGAAGTCACGCCTCCCTGCCTTAGGTGATGTTGTCAATCGGATGAGCCTCTCTCCAGGCTGAACTCTCCTTCGAGGGCACTGGAGGGCGGCGTCGGATAACCACTGCCCTTCCCAGGCTCAGGAGAGGCCAAACAGGGCGAGGATATCTGCCCCCTCTCTCTCCCTGCAGACGCAATAGGAAGGCAGAAATATCTCACCATTCTCTCTGCCTACTCTATCCATGACTATGTGTCTGTGATTTCCTTGTCTTTTAAATAAACTTTATCAAAAATAAAGAAAGTGGAGAAGCTGAAAATTAAACTGGTAACGTGAGCATCCCAAGAGGCAGCTGAAGGACCACACTGCGCGTTGAGTGTCCGCTCGCGGCCCCCAGGTTTTTCCCTTTGTGGGGGTGAACTATTCCTAAGCCGGACGGCAGGTGGCGTGCAACCCAGAAAATTTCAAACACACAGCTCAGTTACCTAACCAGTTTCCAGTAACTTCCTCCTCCCTCACCCCACCTTCCTGTTCCCCTACCTAAACCAAGTCCACTCGCAGCTCCCAGATGTCCAGTTCTGGAGAACTGGTCCCAGAGTGAGGACCCTCTGGAGAAGCCCTCCCTTCACCAGCTGCCCAGGCAAGATGTGAGTATGCTCTGCAGAAAGGCCTGGAGGAGGAGGAAGGAGTTTGGGGAGGGGGGAAGGGTGTACACACACACACACACACACACACACACACACACGGCAGTTAATGCAGAGCCGTGGCCTCTTACCATGCTCAGACTCAATGACTGAGCCAGGGGAAACATTCCAGGCTGGTCTCTCAGATCCCTGCCTGGGCTGGGTTTTACTGGGACAGGAAGCAACCCCCTATTTTGCAGGAAAAGAAGCAAGAGTGGTCTGCCTTGGAGGGGGGAGCTCTGCGTCCTGCAGCTGGAGGGGAGCCACAGGTTATGTGGGGCAGAGGCAGCAAGGAGTAGGCACAAGTGGCCAGGCCTCAAAGCTGGGGCCATAGCTGCTGGCCCCTGCCTCTGCCAGGGCTTAGCTTCATGGGCCCCCACTCCCCGCTAACACACAGACCTCAAGTCACAACCATGCCTCCTCCTCCTGTCCCCTCTCGCCCCCGCCCGACAGGTGGTGGCTGTTCCTCTGGGGAGTCCTCCAGGCTTGCGCCACACAGGGCTTCGTCCTCTTGGCCCAGCAGCAGCCCCAGCGGTTTGCCTCTCCTGGCTACCCCGGGCCATACATGAAAGGCCAAGAAACCAGCCTTGACATCGAGGCTCCAGAGGGCTTGGCCGTGAGGCTCGTCTTCCAGGACTTCGACCTGGAGACATCCCCAAACTGTGAGGGGGATGCGGTCACGGTGAGCCACAAGGGTCTGGTGGGGGAGTGGGGAGCTTGGGAGCCTGCAAGGCCTCTGGGAGGAGCTGCCGGGGGCATGTGGGAGGTGTCCCTGCCCTGCAGAGTGCGTCTAGAGGAGACGTGAAGAGCTCAGGGCAGAGGCCTCCAGGAGGTCATCCCTCCCTCCAGCATCTTCTTCCCTAGACACCTCCTAGGCCCCAAGGAGCAAGAGGAGGACAGCCCACAAATACTGCACACCTGCAGAATAAAAGTCAGGAACCCACACAGCGGTCGCTAAAATACCACGTCTTGCAGTAGCCCTGCCTGCTCTGTCAGGTACCAGAGTTGGGCCTGACAAGAGCAGATGGAGTAACCAGTGCGTTGAGCTTAGAGGAGTTGTCATAAAATAGATTTACAACAAGAGCTTTACTCAGAATCAGGACATTTTTAAACTTTATGTTATCCTTTGATTTAAACTGTAGGGCCAAGCACAGTAGCCTAGTGGTTAAAGTCCTCCCGCCTTGAATGTACCGGGATCTCATCTGCGCACTGGTTCGTGTCCCAGCTGCTTCACTTCCCATCCAGCTCCCTGTTTGTGGCCTGGAAAAGTAGTCGAAGATGGCTCAAAATCTTGGGACCCTGCACCCGCATAGGGCACTTGGAAGGGGCTCCTGGCTCCTGGCTTTGGATCAGCGCAGCACCAGCCATTGCAGTCACTTGGGGAGTGAATCATTGAATGGAAGATTTTCCTCTGTCTCTCCTCCTCTTTATATATCCTACTTTGCAATACAAAAATAAAATAAATATCTAAAAAGATTTACTTATTTTATTGGAAAGTCGGATTTTACAGAAAGAAGGAGAAACAGAGAGAAAAGATTTACTATCTGCTGGTTCACTCCCCAAGTGGCCTCAACGGCCAGAGCCGAGCTGATCCGAAGCCAGGAGCCAGGAGCTTCCTCCGGGTCTTGCACGCAGGGGCAGGTTCCTAAGGACTTGGGCCGGCCTCAACTGCTTTCCCAGGCCACAAGCAGGGAGCTGGATGGGAAGTAGACCAGCCAGGACATGAACCAGCACCTATATGGGATCCTGGCGCATGCAAGCAAGGGCTTTAGCCACCAAGCTATAGCACATTGCTGTTAAATATTTTTTTTTTTTAACTAAAAGTAGACTTGGGAAATTTCTTGAGTTGGAGAGATACCAGGAAAATAAATGAACAGTAGCAAGACAGTCAAAGGGAATTGAAGCAACCTGATTTAAAAGCTTATCAAATGAAGCGGCGACACCCCAAGTACTCAAGCATTGTGTCTGCAGGCTCCCACACATCACAAGGCTCACTCACAGCTCATGGCATGAGAGAAGGGGGATTCCCAAACAAGACCAGGAGCCCCAGGGAACGAGTCTTTGCTTCCCAGATAGTGACCATTAGAAAGTGACTCAAGAGGGCAGGTGCTCAGAGCATCCGTGACGACACGACATGGGACGCAGCATCCCAGGCCTGCGCCCTGTCTCCAACCCAGCTTCCTACGGATGCATGCCTTACGGGGAACAGCCCATGGCTCAAGTGACTCGACTCCCTGCCACCGAGGGTTCTGGGCGCCTGACTTTAGTCTGGTGCAGATCTGGCTCCTGCAGGCACTTAGGGACTGAACCAGCAGATGGAAGATCTCTCTGTGTCTGCCTTTCAAACACCTTAAAAGTAAAGGAAACTCGGGCCCGGTGCGATGGTGCAGTAATTAAGGTCTTCGCCTTGCATGCCCGGGATCCCATATGGGCGCCGGTTCTAATCCCAGCAGCCCCGCTTCCCATCCAACTCCCTGCTTGTGGCCTGGGAAAGCAGTCAAGGACGGCCCAAAGCTTTGGGACTCTGCACCTGCGTGGGAGACCTGGAGGAGGTTCCTGGCTTTGGATTGGCATAGCATCGGCCATTGAGCTCACTTGGGGAGTGAATTATCAGACAGAAAATCTTCCTCTCTGTCTCTCCTCTCTGTATATGCGCCTTTCCAATAAAAGCAAAATACATATAAAAAAAAATAAATGAAACTCTGTTTTTCAAAAGAAACTGCTCCGGGAAGTGGCTGTGCTGGGATGGTGGTGAGAAAACAAGAAGAGAAGCACGGGGCTGGCCCTCGGGTCTCTCCCTGGAGTCCAACAGGGAATCCCCGCCTTCTTAGAACTTCCAACCCGGTTCCTAGGGCAAGAAGCCCAGAGTCCCCGAAGAGCTTCTGGAAAGCCTAGTGGCCTTCCTGAGATAATGGTGTCAGCTAAAAGGCGTTGGACTATGTGCGAGAGAAACGCAGGTGGAGTCAGCATGGACCAGGAATGGGCCTGCAGAAGTGTGGCTTCTGAGCCCCAGAGGGGTACAGGCCTCCAAGGTGGGACCAGAGTCGTGCCTGGGGAGGTGACACCATGACAGGCCAGATCCAAGCACACCTGCCCCTCACTCCTCATCTCTGTTTCAGATCTCAGCCGGTGGGAAGCAGATGTGCCGGCTCTGCGGTCAGCTGAACTCTGCTCCAGGCAGCTCTCCTGCTCAGGGGGAGTTCGTGTCCCCAGGCAGGCGTTTACAGCTGAGCTTCCACACACGTGCTTCCTGCAAAGACCAGGACGCTCACCCCCACAAGGGCTTCCTGGCCCTCTACCAAGCTGTAGGTGAGTCTGCTCCTGGGGATGCAAGGAGGGGGTCTCCACCCTCTGCTATAACCCCTGGGGTGTCTTGAGGTGACAAATTGAAGCTAGAGCGACAGCTGAGGCCAGAGGCAGGTTGCTGCAGCAGCTCCTTTGCGATGGTAACATGGCATCCTGTTGACTGATGCACATGGTGCGATTCATGGCTCTCTATCGACAGAGCAGCTTTGGGTGTCTGTGTCCACCCCTGAGTGTCTGTGTGAGGGCATCTTTACAGCACATTGTTAGACACGGAAATGTTGGATTAAGAAACGAATTTTGGGGGCTGGCACAGTGGCTCAACACGTTAATCCTCAACCCTGTAGCACCAGCAACCCATATGGGCACTGGTTCGAGTCCCAGCTGCTCCACTTCCCATCCAGCTCCCCGATTGTGAGCTGGAAGAGAAGCAGAGGATAACCAGAGTTCTTGGGCTTCTGCACCCACGAGGGAGACCCAGAAAAGGCTCCTGGCTCCTGGCTTCAAGTCGGCTCAGTTTCAGCCATCACAACCGTTTGGGAAGTGAACAGCAGCGGATGAAGGATCTCTCTGTAATCTATCAAATACAAATAAATAAACCTTGTAAAAATGCATTTTCAATCTTGGTGCTGCTAAATTTCCCTCCAAAAACTTTTTACTATTATCCATCCACACCATCCATGACTAAAAGTACCCATTTCCCTGTACCACAAGTCGGTTATTTTTTCCCTTTGAGTGTTGACAGTCTGAGCAGCGAAAACCAGCCCAAATGGTTTACTGTGTGTTTCAAAGTCACTGCAGGGCAGAACTGAAGACAGCTGGGAACAGAGTCAGCCCCGCTCACCAGGGCTAAGTGCATGCTGAATCCCAACGCCTTCCGTCTGTCTTCTTCTAGCCAGGGATGCTGGCCAGCCCTCCTCCTGGGCCAGCAGGGACCCTGAGACGGTGAACGCATCTGCGGACGCCTCCTCCGGGATCCAGAGCCACTGCCAGGAACCCTACTATCAGGCGGTCTTCTCAGGTGAGGAGAGGGCTTCCATCCGCTTCCATCTGCTTCCATTCCAACCTAGAGGGCAGAGGCTCTGAGCGCCTGCTGTGTGAGCCCAACGCCCTCTAACTCTGCATCCCTTTCTTTGTCCTCAGGGACAGCCACCTGCACAGCATCAGGCGCCCGGAAAGACCAACAGGGGAGGGAGGAGGTTCCTCACTGTGTGCCTGGTGAGTGGTGAGCTGCCCAGCACCGTCCCCATGGACTTCCCCAGGTAGCCTCGGCAGTGATTGGAGACCTGGGATGCAGGGTGTTAAAGCAGATGGGGAAGGAGCCTGCAGAGGGCTCAGAGATGAGAAGGAGCTTTCCTTGTTCCCCCAGGGTTAAGACAAATCTGAGAAAGCGAGCCAATGCCACGGCATAGTCAACTAAGCTCCAGCTTGCAGCACTGGCATCCCAGTTCATGTCCCAGCTGTTCTACTTCTGATCTAGCTCCCTGCTTATGACCTGGGAGAGCAACAGAGGATGGCCCAAAGCCTTGGGACCCTGCAACCACATGGGAGAACAGGAAGAAGTTCCTGACGCCTGGCGTCATATCAGCTCAGCTCTAGCCATTGCAGCCACTTGGGGAGTGAACCAGCAGATGGAAGATCTTTCTGTCTTGCTTTCTCTCTGTAAATCTGCCTATCAAATCAATAATAATAAATCTTTAAAGTATGCTTCTAAAGCTTTTTAAAATATATGTATTTAATTATTTGAAAGGAAGTTAGAGAGAGGGAGTGAGATTTTTCATCTGCTGATTCACTACCCAAATGGCTACAACAGTCAGATTTGGCCAATCCAAAGCCAAGGGAGAAGAGTTCTTCTGGGTCTCCCAGCATGTGCAGGTGCTCAAGGACTTGGGCCATCCTCTGCTGCTTTCCCAGGCACGTTACCGCGGAACTGGATCAGAAATGGGGCAGCCGGCACCCATATGGGATGCTGGCCCCACAGCCTGAGGATTAGTGTGCCATGTCACCACATCAGCGCCTAGAAACAAGTCTTTAATCGATACGTGCTACTGCAACCACTGATTGTTCATCTTGCCCTCCCATCTCTTGCAGTGTGTGGGCAGCCAGTCACCCCCATTATCCAGGACCAGAAGACCAGCAGTTCCTCCAGAGCTAAGTTGGGTAACTTCCCCTGGCAAGCCTTTACTAGCATCTACGGCCGTGGTGGTGGGGCCCTGCTGGGAGACCGATGGATCCTAACTGCGGCCCATACCATCTACCCCAAGGACAGCGTCTCTGCCAGGAGGAAGCCACGTGTGGATGTGTATCTGGGCCACACAGACATCGAGGAGATGCTGAAGCTGGGCAGCTACCCCGTGCGCCGCGTAGTGGTGCACCCAGATTACCACCAGGGCAAGTCCCACGACTTCAACGGGGACATCGCCCTGCTGGAGCTCCAGCACCGGGTCGCGCTAGGTCCCCACCTCCTCCCTGTCTGTCTCCCAGATAACGAGACTCTCTATGAAACCGGCGTGCAGGGCTACATCAGTGGGTTTGGCATGGAGATGGGCAGGTTGACCACCCAGTTAAAGTACTCGAGGCTGCCCGTGGCCCCCAGGGAGGCCTGTGAGGCCTGGCTCCGGGAGAAGGGCAGGACGGAAGTGTTCTCAGACAATATGATCTGTGTTGGGGACAATGTGCAGCCAGACAGTGGCTGCCAGGGGGACAGTGGCAGTGTTTACGTGGTCTGGGACACCCGTGCCCATCGCTGGGTGGCCACAGGCATCGTGTCCTGGGGCATCGGGTGTGCCACTGGCTATGGCTTCTACACCAAAGTGCTGAACTATGTGGAGTGGATCAAGGCAGTGATGGGCAGCACAGAGTGAGCCTGGGATTTGTGGCAGGGACTGCCTGGCACCAAGATAAAGCAAGCTGCCGTGTAAGACAGCTTCTCTCCTCTGGGCCTACTGCACCCCACAAAGGAAGTGGGGATCCCCCAGCACCTTGTGTCCCTCTGCCTCCCAGTGCCTTGGCACCAGGGCATCCCCCTATGGTTCAGCAATTGCCACCTTCTTACACTTCATCCCTTAATACAGCTTCTTCCGTACCTGCTTGTGAAAGAGCCACCTGCTCACATATTCAAGCGGACAGGGTGTGGATGGAGGGGCCGTCACAGCATTCGTTTCTGATGCCTTCAAGGACCCTGCAGCTGACTTCCGAGTCATCAGACTGTCAACCCTGACAGTGACAGCTCTCTGTCTCCTGTATGCCAGGTGCCTTGTGCATCATCTCACCTAACCTCACACTGTGTTTGCAGAAAACCTGTTATAATCTGCCTTGCACACAAGGAGTTACAGGGACTCAAGCCAAAGCACCCCCAAACTTGTGTCACTCCAAGGCTGTGGGGTACCTCTCAGTCACCCTCCAGGCTTTCCCAGGGCCTCATTCCCTTCCAGGAAAGGGGTGTCACCCGCCCCACATGCACCCCCTTTTCTAACAGGTCTGTGGCTGAGCCCTACCTGGAGATCCTCAAGTGTGGGCCTCCAACATCCAGAGCCCTGGGACCCATGTGAAGACCAACTCTCTCTTTTTTTTGGGGGGGGGGGTGGCGGAAGCTAGATTTGAGATAATGAAAATTTGAAAGACAAAATAAAATACAATTTCCCAATGGAAATAGAAATGAAACAAACGAGAGTACATTTGTTAGCACAGCTGGTTAAGCTACTGCCTGCGGCCCCAACATCCCATATCAGAGTTTCACTTCAAGTCCCAGTTGCTCAGCTTCCAACCCAGCTCCCTGCCACTGGCCCCGAGGGAAAGCAGCAAAAATGGGCCGAGTGCCTGGGCACCTGCTAAACACCTGGGAGTCATGGCTACAGTCCTGACTCCTGGCTTTGACTGTCCGAGCTATTGTGATCATTTGAGGAGTGAGCCAGCAATGGGAACACCACTCGCTCTGGGACCCTGCCTTTCAAATACAATCTTTTTTTAAAAACAAACTTGCTTCTAAAAAACACTAAAATTGTAAATAGATGAAGCCACTATTTTCGTAAAGATTTATTTATTTTTATTGGAAAGGCAGACTTACAGACAGAAGGAGATACAGAAAGATCTTCCATCCATTGATTCACTCTCCAAATAGCTGCAACTGTTAGAACTGAGCCGATCCAAAGCCAGGAGCCAGGAGCCTCCTCCATGTCTTTCATCTGGGTGCGGAGTCTAAGAGCTTGAGCCATCCTCTGCTGCTTTCCCAGACCATAAGCAGGGTGCTGCCCGGATGAGGAGCAGTCAGGACATGAGCAGGTGCCCACAGGGATGACAACGCTGCAGGCAGAGAACTAGCCTGATAGACCATTGTGCCAGCCCCCGTTACTTTTATTTTTTTAAAACCTCAACACAGGAAAATATTTAAAATGCAAACTACTAAACAGACATTGCTTTATGTAATCCATATGATTTTGGCCGGTTGATTTCCTGCCATTCTCTGTTTGCTAAATTCTGTTTAATGAAAGTTTTGATGCTGTTTTTTGTCCTTATTCTTAATGCTAAAAAAAATGGACATGTTTCTGCCTGCCGAGACAAAATGTACATACCTGTCTATCTGCACACTCTAGATCCAGCTCTCCAGCTCTCGCGTTCCAGACACATTTAGCTACACCCAGAGATCTAAAGATATAGATGAGCTAGATCTAAAAATAGAGACGGTGAGATAGAGGCAGATTCAGAGAGCAAAGCCTACCATTCCATAAAGAGAGGGATCTTTTCCCCAGAATCCACCCTTCTTTGGAAGGGATAGAGCAGACAAGCATATTCCGTGCCAGTTTTCAAACAGGTGCACAGCCATTTCACTCGGCTCGCTCTTCTTTCTGCTCTTGGTATGACACCAGGTTTTAACAAAAATGTATAAATCAAGATTATTTTGAATGGAGTCAAGGCTAGGCCCGAGGAGGAAGTCCTGTTATTTCTAGCCATGGTGTGTGTTACCAGGATTGGAACTCACAGCCCCTAGAATGCTCCATGAGCCCAGGGCATAACCAAGCATCCCGGGGATGTTGCGTGGTACAAGGGCAGATGTTGGGGGCTGCCGCTGTGGCACAGTGGGTAAAGCCATTGCCTTTGGTGCTAGTATCCCATAGGGGCATCAGTTCCAGTCCCAATTGCTCCATTTCCGATCCAACTCCCTGCTAATGTGTCTGAGAAAGCCGCGGAGGATAATCCGACTGCTGAGCCCCCTGCAGCCGTTGTTGGAAACCCCAAAGGGTCAGATTCCTGGCTTTCGATCAGCCCAACTCTAGCCATTATGGTCATTTGGAAAGTGAACTAGTGAATTGAAAATCTTTCTGTTCTCTCCTTCTCTCTCTGTAACCCTGCTTTGCAAATAAATATATATTTTTAAAGGGCAGATGTTGCAAGTCTCTAGGATGAGTGAGAGGGCTTCTGCTGAGACTCACCTTGGAGCCCTTACTTCCTTATGGGATCTGCCCCTGTTATGAACACTCACACTCAGAGAAATCAGCATCCTAAGGTGCCATTTTCTAGGCAGGATTACATGTCCTTCTTGTCTTCTGATTGGTCCATTTCTCCTCTCTCCTATCTTAAGCCTTTCCTGACCTGCAAGGGCAGGGGTCGTGTCATGGTCAAGTCCAGAATCAGTCCTGCCCCCAGACCCATTCCTCAGCTCTGATGCATCCAGCTGCAGGAGGACCCCACAGGTCTTCCACAGGCGTGATGACGCGTCTTGGAAAGGGCACCTGGCACATAACACAGCTTCCAGTAACAGGAACAGTGGTGGATAGATGAGTGGCTGGAGGGTGGGACTGAGCTCATGAGGACGCGAGCCTGTGCAGGACCGCGGAGGCCTGCTTTCCAGTCCAAGCCTCCCATGGGGCAAAATGTCTCTGGGTTTTTAGAGGCACGCAGAGCTGATAAAGAAAAATTTAGGAAGTGTGGGAGCTTTTCAATAAGGGCACGACAGCCCTGGGGCAGGAGACCCATGCCAGCCAGGGCCCTGCCCTCCCCTCGGAAAGGATGAGCCATTCCTGCTTCCCAGCCACACCCTTTTGCATAACCCTCAGGAACTGAAAGCACATGTCTGGGAAAAGAGGCCACCTCACTCCCTGGCTTCCCTAAAAATCAAGCTCACTGACCAGCCTGAACTACGGAGGTGGCAAGCAATTGTATCAACAGCTGGTGCTGCCTTGGGGGTCACAATGCCATGGCAATTTCCCCCCTACAACTGAGTGTCACTCGTGAGTAAAGTAGGCCAGGACCCCTGACAACTAGGATCCACTTTCCTCTCTGCACCTGCCCTTTGCCCCACCCTGCTCCACTCCACGGCCCTGACACCTCACCCCGGGTGCTGGCTCTTCCTGGACCACAGCAGAACCAGGTCAGAGGACACGTGCAGCTCCCCATCCCCCAGTTCCCTTTGAGTCAGAGCCCTGGACACACAGCAGCCACCCCTAGGAAGGCCTCTGCAGAAAGGGGATGCTCATGAGACAAAAAAGTGTAACAGATATTAGGTGCAATCGTGAAGTCACTTATGGTGGTACCTGCACCCCATAACAGGGTGCCCGTGTTTGCGTCCCAGACTCACTCCTGAGTCCAGCTTTCTGCTGATGCATGCTTTGGAAGGAAGAGGTGATGGCTAAAATACCCAAGCACCTGACATCCTCATGGAAGACCTACACCAAGTTGCCACTCCGTGGGAATTTCCAAAGGAATGGCCTCGGCCAGTGTCTATCTCTGTCTCTCTCTTGCAAATAAAATAAGGTTTAAACTATTTTTTAAGAAAGAAAGCAAAAAGTTAAGGAATGTTTGTTTTTTTTATTTATTTATTTATTTTTATTTTATTTTATTTTATTTTAAAGTTAAGGAGTGAAAACCTCCAACCCACCAGTGCCAAGCCCCTCAAACCTGACTCCAGCCGCAGGCCTTCCGCATAGAGACCAGCAGGTGGCACCACCACCAGGGATTTCAAAATCAAAACTAAAGTGGAAACTCAAATTTTTGTTTTGTTTATGCAAATAGTCTCTTCCCTAACATTCCTCTGGGAATGGGCCCCCTCCACCTCCACAGTCATTTCCTCAGCTCGGCCTCCTCTGCACGCCCTGCTCTCGCCTTCAACACGCAGGGCGGGAGGGCGCACTCAAGGAGAGCCGGGGATTGCGAACCCAGTCCCAAGAAATGTGAGTAAGGCTGACGGGCATTTGATGGGAAGGAAAGCCAGGGGCAGGCATGGGAGACCCCTTCATCCTGCTCCCGTGTTATTCAGGGAGCTGGGCACATTCCCTGTCCCTGGGTGCACTGCTTAAACGCACTTACAGGTAGCCCCCACACCTCCTGAAGCTGTGCAAAGCCGCAGAGAGGCATTCCCCAGGCAGCGAGTGGCAAGCGGGGAGGGGATCCCCTATGTCCAGGAGGAGGACCCTCGGTGCTTGTCCATGCTGGTTGGGCTTTGGGAGCACCGTGGCTGGCAACCCTCACCCTCACTCTGCTGGTCCCAGGCCAATCCTGTTCCGGGAAGAGGAGGTGCAGGGGTCGGTTGGGGAGGGAGTGAGATGATAATGAGATGACCTCCGGACTGGACATCGCCCTGGGAAAAGAACACAGCAACAGAGGCTGGCCACCCTAGTCTCACCTAGTCTCACCTAGTCTCCCTACCCCCAATGTCTCAGGGAGGTCCCGCATGGGCAACAGGGACCAAGTGGAGCGCCAGGCGCTCCCACCACGCACCCAGCCACTGCCTGGACCCCTTGCTTCTTTCTGGCAGGTGGCTCCTCTGTGTCTCGCTGCTAGCCTTGTTCTGCAGGGCCGGAGGCTCCATCAACATGCCCCAGAAGCTCTTTGGGGAGGTGACCTCACCCCTGTACCCCAAGCCGTACCCAAACAACTTTGAGGCAACCACGGTGATCTCGGTGCCCGCGGGCCACCGGGTGAAGCTGGTCTTCTGGCATTTTGACGTGGAGCCCTCCGAAGGCTGTTTCTATGACTACGTCAAGGTAGGGGGCAGCAGGGGACTCCCGGAAGCAGAGGCACTTGTGCTCCCACAGTCCTGGCTAGCCCTGGACACAACTCAGCTCATGGCCGAGCATGGGGTGCTCTCAGGGTCGAGGGGTCCCCCATGAACCGCAAGATTCACAGAAGAGGAAGAACGGGCTTATCCACAGAGCTTGCGGGCAGCTGCTGTGCCTCAGTTTCCCTTCCCACACCTCCTTCACAGAGCCACAGGAAGGGAAATATAGACAAAGGGAACCTTCCAATCCCCTCTTTCCATAACAACAACAACAAAAACAAAACCAGGACTCGGGGAAAACCTGTGGATCCCATGAAAGTGGCACATCCTCAGACAGAACAAGGTCACCGAGCCAGGGGGCAGGGCACACTCACGGGTGCTGCTGGCTGTAGCCGTGGCACGGCTGTCTGCAGAACATGAAATGAGACAAAAAATCAAGTAGCCCAGTACAGGCTCTAGGAATGAGTGATGGTAAAGATCGGACATCTGTGGGAGTAACCTCCCTCCCCCTGCCTGTCACCCCAAGAAATGGCAGAGAAAAGAACATGAATAGGGAAGGGCAGGAACCCAGTGCAGTGCCAAAGCCTCAGGCAGACATAGTGGCAACCCCGGTGGGAGTTGGCAGCCCCTGCCCCTTCTCCCAGAGTCGAGCAGGGCGAGACCTATGTGCTGCGCCAGGAGTCACTCTGGGGCGAGGTGAAGGCCCCCACGGCCCTCCACACGGGGAGCTGGGGTTCTTCTCCCTAGTTCCAACCTAGCCCCTCTCCGACCAGATCTCTGCTGACAAGAAGAGCCTGGGCAGGTTCTGCGGGCAGCAGGACTCTCCATTGGGCAATCCCCCGGGAAGGCGGGAGTTCGAGTCTCAAGGCAACAAGATGCTGTTGACGTTCCACACCGACTTCTCTAATGAGGAGAATGGCACCGTCATGTTCTACAAGGGCTTCCTGGCCTACTACCACGCTGTGGGTGGGTGCTCTTTCTTGTTCTCAGCCGTAGGAATGGGGAACAGACAGAACTCGGGGAGCCAGAACCCTGTTTTCTGAGCAGGGCTCATAGCTCTGCCTGAACCCATGACTCCACTCCAAAAGAGCTTCCTCCAGACAAGGCCTGGTCACTTGGGTTGTGTGCATTTTGGGCAATCCCCAGAGAGCCGTGCCAGAGCCCGGGAGGTCCCAGGGAGGGCAGGGGCTGACTTTGTCCCTAGGCTTCTGATGCGTGTGCAAGCCTCCCCTCCCGCACCCCCTTCCAGACCTCGACGAATGTGCTCCTCAGACGGCCAGCTCTGTGGACGATGCTCCCCAACCCCGCTGCCAGCACCTGTGCCACAACTACATTGGCGGCTACTTCTGCTCCTGCCACCCAGGCTACGCACTCCAGAAAGACAAGCATTCCTGCCAGGGTGAGTCCTGGGAGCGATGCGGAGTCGGGGAAAGGCAGGGGCTGGTTGGGCCCCTGTGACCCGGCACCATCCGCACTTTCAGCCGAGTGCAGCAGCAGGCTGTACACTGAGCCTTCCGGCTACATCTCCAGTCTGGAGTATCCCCAGCCCTACCCGCCAAACCTGCAGTGCAACTACAGCATCCGGGTGGAACGCGGTCTCACCCTCCACCTCAAGTTCCTGGAGCCCTTCGAGATTGACGACCACCAGCAAGTGCACTGTCCCTATGACCAGCTCCAGGTGCGGCTTCCGTGAAACGGCCCCCTCCTTTCTTCTCCCTCTCCTTCCCCCAGCATCCTCCCAGCCAAGCGGGACCAGCATCACGCCAGTGGATCTGGCCAGTCCCCCACACAGCTGGACAGGAGCTGAAAACACACACATGGTCCTGCCACCCTGGCCACCAGGCCGCTACCCTGCTTGGCCCCTGGTCCAAGAACCTGAGCTGATGCAAATCTCCTGCCTCCTCCTCCTCTGCTCCCCCAGATCTATGCCAATGGCAAGATGCTGGGTGAGTTCTGCGGGACACAAAAGCCCCCCGACCTAGACACCAGCAGCAACGCTGCGGATCTGCTATTCTTCACAGACGAGTCGGGGGACAGCCGAGGCTGGAAGCTGCGCTACACCAGCGAAAGTAAGCTTGCCTGGGGCCCCAGGGTGGGGAGGAGGAAGGAAGGACAAGCAGCTCTGAACTAACCATGCCTTCTGGTCTCCCTCGCAGTCATCAAGTGCCCCCAGCCCAAGGCGCTGGACGAGTTCACCATCATCCAAGACCTGCAGTCTCAGTACCAGTTCCGTGACTACTTCATTGTCAGCTGCAAGCAGGGCTACCAGCTGGTGGAGGTGAGAGCCCCGGGCTGAGGGCACAGAGGCAGTCTCAGAAGGAAATGCAGACGGGGAGGCCCGCAGTGGCTGTGGGTTCACCCCTGCCTGGAATCCCAGACAACACAACGTTTTAAAACCACTGAGGTCTGCAGGCCACAAGGGAGGTTTTGCCTGGGTCCATCTGGAGTGCAGGCTGGGCCTCGGGATGAGCGTGCTATGCTGCCAAGCGGCAGGTGAAGTCTCATCACTCACTGTAGATTGCAAAACTGAAAAGGCAGGCTGGAGGCGCAGCGACTTGTTCAGCATCGTGTCACGGTTCTCGGATAGCAGGAACTAGGACCCAGCTGGACCGTGTCCTCCCCTTGACTCACCCTGGTAACGTTATTCTGGGCCTGCCCTCCAACCCTGGAAGGAAGGCAGGATTCAGCCATCGGCCCAGCTCGGATCGCTGCGAGACTCAGATTGTTCTTAGAAACATACCACTGGAGTCACCCAGCATGTGGCACACGATACGTCGCACATCCGGGTGTCCCGGGGCAGCACTGGTATTGGAGAGAGACTGCAGTCTGGAAGAGAAAAAGAGGTTCAGGGCACGTCAGGGAGAGATTGTGCTGCAACGCAGAAAATGCTCCACTTGACACGTGATGACGGGGGTGGGGGCAAAAATGACGAATGGTGGGGAGAAGATGTCCAGGTCTGATCTTGAGCTCTGGGCTCTGACTTCCTGCCAGGGACTCAGGATCCAGGGGACTGGCAAAGCAGAAGGAAAGGGAAACCCATTCCCCACAGCACGTGCGGGGCATCAGGTACTCAGCATGCTTCTCACCTCTGCTCCAACAGGGCACCAAAGCGCTGCTCTCCTTCACGGCTGTCTGTCAGGATGACGGCACATGGCATCGCGCCATGCCCAGATGCAAGAGTAAGTCATGGCTCAGGGGTGTGTCTGCCTCTCGCCAGCTTGAAGAACCGGGCTGAGAAGGAAAGGAACCCCAGACGAGGCCTCTCACGAGGGAGCCTCCCCTGTGACTTGTCCCTAAAGCCTGAGGCCCTTAGGACACACTGAGCCCTCAGCTGCACCCACACTCCTCACGCTTGCCATCTCTGTTGGGCACACTTCTCCGGGACTCAGCCTGTCCAGCAGGCAGACGACTCCCATCCCTTCCCACTGAAGTTCTAGTCCAGTCTTTCTCAGCTCTTCACATGGCCTTGTGTTCTCCCAAAGTCAAAGACTGCGGGCAGCCCAAAGACTTGCCCAACGGGGACTTCCACTACACGACCGCCACGGGCGTCAACACCTACCAGGCCCAAATCCAGTACCACTGCCGGGAGCCATATTACAAGATGTACAGCAGAGCTGGCATCAGTGAGGCCACACGAGGTAGGAACTGGAGAACGTTTCGGTCTCTCCCTCCCATCTTCTTGGGGAGTCCTGTGGCATTTCTTCCTGTAGAACCTCTAGGGAAAGTGTATTCAGGTGTCTGCCTGGAGCGCTAGCTTCAGCAACATACGTTACATCCCAAGAAGGACCTAATAGGTTTGAAGAAGTAGGTATCTGAGCTGATGCAAAGAAAAGATGGACCCTCTCAGCCCCCTCTACCCTGCTTGGCCCTGGTCCCCTCTCAGCCCCCTGCTAACACACACCCCTCGAGGCAGCAAATGACAGCTCAGGTGTGTGGGTTACTGCCACCCACGTGGGAGGCTTGAATTGAGTCCCCAGCTACAGACTGGAGCCTGGCCAGCCCTAGCTGTTGGTAACATTTGGGGCGGGAATCAGCAGATTAAAGACCTCTCTCTCTCTCTGCCTTTCAAATAATTTTTTAAAAACGTTTTATAAACAGAAAAAACAAAAAATACATATGTGGAGCGTCCTGATACTTTTGAAATCCTTTATACAGACGGCGAAAAGACAGGTCACTGGGCGCCCTCCCTGGGCCTCCCCCACCGCTCCCCCAAGAGCAGGCTCAGGGCGCTCTGGCCTCTTGCCGCACCTCCCTGTCTGACCCTGCCTCCTCTCTCCGCAGGCACGTTCACCTGCACAGCCCAGGGCATTTGGAAGAACGAACAGGAAGGAGAAAAAATCCCACGGTGTTTGCCTGGTCAGTGGGAAACCTCAGAGCACACAGAAAATGGGTGAAGCAAGGGGAGATGGTGCCAAGCTGAGGGAGGGGGGAGGAGACACAGGAGACAAGGTCCCCAGGAGGATGGGACGGAGGGACGGAGGGACGGAGGGACGGAGGGCAGGGCGCAGTGCTGCCAGGCCAGTCGGAATGCCCAGGGCCCAGGTGGAGACTTGGGAACGAGGAAGGAATCCACCAGGACAAGCAGGCCAGCGAAGGAGGCTTGTGAATAGGACCAGGAGCAGGGCTGCGGAGGGGGCGGGACCTGGCGCTCACCTGGCCTTGTCTCCTGATTCCTCCTCTCCAGTTTGCGGGAAGCCGGTGCATCCGGTGCAACAGCAGCAACGCATTGTCGGGGGCCAGAAGGCCAAACCGGGGAACTTCCCCTGGCAGGCGCTCACCTCCATCCACGGCCGGGGCGGCGGTGCCCTGCTGGGCGACCGCTGGATCCTCACAGCCGCCCACACCCTATTCCCCAAGGACCACAGCTCGCAGCTCAATGCATCCGTGGACGTGTTCCTGGGCCACACGAACGTGGAGGAGATCAGAAAGATGTCCAATCATCCCATCCGCAGGGTCAGCATCCACCCAGATTACCGTCAACACGAGTCCCATAATTTCGATGGGGACATCGCCCTTCTAGAACTGGAAAACAGTGTCACCCTGGGCCCCAACCTCCTGCCCATCTGCCTCCCCGACAACGAGACCTTCTATGACAAGGGCCTCGTGGGCTATGTCAGCGGCTTTGGGATCATGGAGGAAAGGATTGCCTATGACCTCAGGTTTGTCCGTCTGCCCGTGGCGAGGCGAGAGGCTTGTGAGCGCTGGCTCCGGGAGAAAAATAGGAACGATGTGTTTTCTGAAAACATGTTCTGTGCTGGGGACCCGACCCTCAAGCAGGATGCCTGCCAGGGAGACAGCGGCGGGGTCTTTGCGGTGAGGGACCCGCACAGCGATCGCTGGGTGGCCACGGGCATCGTGTCCTGGGGCATTGGGTGTAGCAGGGGGTATGGCTTCTACACCAAGTTACTCAACTACGTGGACTGGATCAAGAAGGAGATGGGGGAGGAGGAGCAGGACTGAGCCCAGGATGCCCCCGGTCAGAAGCCAGAGTAAAGGGTGGGAAAAAAAAAGCCACCTAAGCAGGTGTTGATAACCACTAAGACGATTAAAGCCACGGATGCAGAGATGTGCTGTGTGACATGAACTCTGTCTGCTGTGGTCCCACCATAATTCTTCACCTGAAATCTCTCAGGCGCCCTTTCTTCCCTCTGTAGCTTTCTGGGCGTGCAGCTGCCAATCCCTCAGCTATCATTCTGCTCTCCCATTTTTGCACCTTTGTATAGTTGGATAAACACCCTTTCCAAATAAAATGTTACGAGAGATTCTATAGCATGCAGTGCCTCAAACGTGGTGTTTAATTACTAGGAAGTTATATAGTGTACTCATATTTTAAATAGTTAATTAACCCTTCCACTCTCAATTCTCTCCATTCCCAAACATGATCCACGTGTACCTGTGATTTCTTTGCCTTTTTAAAAAATACTTCTTTATTTTTGTTATCAGAAAAGCAGATCAAACTTACAGGAGAAGAGACAAAGAGAAAGAACCGTCCACTGGTTCACTCCCCAGATGGCAACAACAGCTGGAAATGTGAGCCTGTCTGAAGCCAGGAGCCAGGAGCTTCTCTGGGTCTCCCATGCGGGTGCAGGGTGCCCAGGCTTTGGGTTGTCCTCAACTGCTTTCCCAGGTCATAAGCAGGGAGCTGGATGGGAAGTAGGACAGCCAGGACACGGACCAGCATCCGTGTGGAATCCTGGCACTTGCAAGATGAGAATTCAGTTATTCAGTCATTGCATCAGGCCCAATAACTATATTATAAGTAAATATATATCTAAATATGTTTACTTAAAAATGCAATGAGAACAATTAAGTTTATTTGCACTTTTAGAATTAGGGTTATAGCAGCTGATACAGTGGTTCAACAGGCCAATCCTCCATCCTGTGACCCCAGCACACAATTTCGGTGCTAGTTCGTGTTCCAGCTGCAACACTGCCAATGCAGTTCTCTGCTTATGGCCTGAGAAAGCAGTGGAGGATGGCCCAAGTCTTTGGGACCCTGTACCCACGTGGGAGATCTGAAAGAAGCTCCTGGCCCCTGGCTTCAGATCAGCTTAGCTCTGGCGGTTGCACCCATTTGGGGAGTGAGCCAGTAGGTAAAAGATCTTCTCTATTTTTTCTCTATATATAAAATCTACCTTTCAAATAAAAATAAATATTTTTTAAAAGAATCAGAATTATAGAGAATGTATTTCCATATTTTGTTTTGATTTTATACTATGAAGAAAATTATTATGATTTTCCAACATGTATCACATATTGGCCCACTTCCTCGGGCCCTGACACCTACATGGGCCATGCAGATGGAGTCCGGGGCTTCTGGGATTGGCCTGCTCCAGCCCTAGCTGCTGCTGCCATTTGGGAGTTGAACTAGAGGATGGAGGATCTCCATCTCTCTGTCTGTCTCTCTCTTATATCTCTCTGCCACTCAGACAGATAAAAAAATATTTTTAAGTTAATGGCTTTTTAAATAGCTCACATTCCAATCTCTATATATCCCCTACTGGAGTGGGCATTTGGCAGTTAAATCACCACTTAGGACACAAGAGTCCCATCAGAATACCTGGTTCAAGTCCCAGCTACTCTACTTCCGATCCAGCTTCCAGCTTGTGTGCACTCAGGAAGCAGGAGGTGATGGCTCCAGCCACGGAGTCCCCACCACAAACACTGCCCAGAGGTGACTCCCAGGGCAGCAGAGAACACCACAAGAGAAAAATCCCCAAGAAAGGAGAAAGAAAACCACATGTGATCATTGCAGGGGAAAGTCCCCTGAATCAGCAGGGCTGAGGGCCGGACCTGACCCCAGCAGCCAGACCCAGCGCCGAGCCTTCCCAGGACTTTGAGCAGAGAAGCAAAGCAGCCTCTCACCAGTCGGCTGGGTCTGCTAAGGCCCTGACCGCGGAGGGGGAAGGGAGTCCCAGAGAGGTCAATGCATCCTGGGGAAGGGGGAGGGAGGATCAATGCTCAGAAATCATTGCTTTTACCCAGAAAAGCATGAGGCAGTGAAATGACGGAGGCAAAGGCCACCCTAGAGCTGGGCTGAAACATGAAGGGGGGAAAAAAGGAACTAGAAAGTGTATAATCAAGGGTTTTAAAAAATTTGCTGCAAAATGGAGTAAATAGATAGGGCAACTGTGGGAGGAACTGTTTAAACAACGTGTTTATTTGCTGATGGGAATTGCACAAGAGGGAGAAAATGTGAGTGATGCATGGGGGCAGGACAAAGCCGTAATCTCGTTGGAAACTTGGTTGAATTATCTATGGTAACAACGGGGGCAGGAGGGAGTACAAGTGAGCATTTCACTAGATGTTATGATAGAAGCATATAGAAGTTCTCCCCTATTTATGAAGATGTTCTTTATTTGAAAGGCAGAGTGACAAAGGTTGGGGGGGGGGGACAGAGAGAAGGAAATCTTCTTCCCAATGGCCACAGTGACCAAGGTTGGACCAGGCTGAAGCTAGGTGCCTGCAACTCCCCCTGTACGCAACTGGGACTTGAACAGGCACTCGTGTGACGTGGGATGCCGGCAGCTCAACCCACTGCCCGCGACACCATCCCTCTTTGCTCTCCATCAGTCTCAGTGAAGTGAGAGATAAAGACACAAGGTCATCAGGTAATGAAGATGAAGACGGTGTGGGGATTTGAGGAGAGAAGGAATGAAATCGTCATCTAGGAGAGTGGGATCAGGGGGTTGTGGCCAGGCGCTAGAAAGGTCCCCTGGAGCTTCCTGCTCAGCTGTTCTTTGATGCGGCAGTCTCATTTTTTGGTTACATAAGTTTGGTTGTGAGTTTTTCCCCAAACACTGGCAGATACACCCATACAGGCAAGACCTCAATTTGGGGGACCAGCATGACGACTCAATTAGCTAACCCTCCACCTTCAAATGCCAGCATCTTATATGAGCCCTGGTTCTAATCCCAGCTGCTCTACTTCCCATCCAGCTCCCTGCTTGTGGCCTGGGAAAGCAGCTGAGGATGGTCTAACTTCTTGGGTTTCTGCACCAAAATGAGAGACCTGGAAGAAGCTCTTTACTCCCAACTTCAGACCAGCACAGCTCTGGTTGCTGCGGTCATTGAGGAGTAAACCAGTAGATGAAACATCTCTCTCTCCTCTCTTTCTCTCTCTGCAACTCTGATGTTAAAATAATAAAAATAAATATTAAAAAATAATTAGAATTGGTTTCCTATAGCAGTTGCTGGTTGCCTTTGTCCTTTAAATTTCTCCCCTGTAGGAAGAGTTTCCCCAACACAGAAGCTGCATCCAAGGATACCTGGTTGATAGAGGTTGGTACCCAGCCCTTGAGGGTTCCCCCCACTGTGGTTCCTGTTGAGATAACTCTATCCACTCACCCCCACCTCTGCCAATCAATTTCGTGTTCTTTCCTGGTTCCGAAGCAATCATACCCAACATTCACTTCTCTTGATCCTCGGTCTGAGAAAAACTGAATCTTTCAAAATTATCTTTTCAAAATCATAAGAAAAAAATGGCAAAGAAAAGGAAGGGTTTGACCACAAAGAGGTTAGCATAAGGGAGCGTTCACGGTGCTGGAACCGTTCTGTATCTTGATGGCCGCGATAAGGTGACACAAGACTGTGCATGCATGTCGCATTGCCGTGTGTCCTGGCTTTGACCCCGCATTACAGTTCCAGGAGTCGTAACCATTCAAAGAAACTAGGAAAGGGTCCACAGCACCCCTCTGTACTAACTTTGCAAAGAATCTGTGTTTTTAAAAGGGTTTTGGGGGCCCGGCGCGATGGCACAGTGGTTAAGGTTCTCGCCTTGCATGCCCGGGATCCCATATAGGCACTGGTTCTAATCCCGGCAGCTCCACTTCCCATCCAGCTCCCTGCCTGTGGCCTGAGGAAGATGTGGTTTCCCTGACCGACAAGTTGATCAGATCCACCAGGAACATCAAGGAGAACATGCTGGATTTCTCTGCCTTTTCTTCTTTAATGAAATCATAGCCTTGCATTATACAAAGGAGCTTGAGAGGAAAGTTAACGTTCAGATTACACGCTGAAGCACTTTAAACTTAAAGACCTTAAAGAGCCAATGCTAACTGTTCACAACATTCAATAAATCTGAGTTACAAGACAGGAGAAACACTGAACTCCTTGTCTCCATAACTACTCCCCAAATGCCCCAATCCAGTGACACCGCAGCCTTCTCCTCCCAGTCCCAGTTCTCAGCGTTTGATGTGGAGTAAGCTGTGTCCAACTGGATCGGCTAGGACACATGCATGATCGTAAGTGGATGATGAACATTGACAATGATACAGTCCAGGCGATTTTAAACAGGCGCAAAGGGATCAGATGAAGGTACTCCTACAAAGCAGTGTAAGGTAGGTGTGCCCCCACGCATATGGCTACCTATACCAGGTTATAGGGGAGAGGACCTCACAGACTGAGACCACCACTCCAAGCCCAACATGATTCTGTGATCAAGCTTGCACATCTTGACAATTATGATGTGTGCAAGTCACACTCCATGTCAAGTCCCCAGGAAATCAGGGGCGTAATTTAGTCCGGTGAGATCCTGGAAATGACATTGTGAAGACCTGGGAGCCTTATGTTTGCCACAGTCCTGCGAGAGGCTGAGGGTGCGTGGCTGCTAAGTTCTAACTAGGAATACCATATTCTCGCATCGTATCAGTGATCCAATCAACGTAGTTCTTCACTTTGGTGTACAAGCCATATTTCCCACAGGTGGCACCCCAGGACACCAGACCAGCCACGTAGAATTTAGGGCTGTCCGTGGTGGGGTCTTGCACAGCAAAGGCCCCACCGCTGTCCCCTTCACAGCTATCAACACCCATGATGCCTCCAGCGCAGATCATGTTCTCAGTGAAAGTGAAGCTACTGATGTCCACACGGGAATCTCGCATCTGCCGGCAGTGCTGCAGGGAGGTGATGGGCAGCTTTGCGGCTTTGAGTTTGATGGCGCGATCTCTCCTCTCCGTTCTGCCCCAGCCTGAGACCAAGCCCAGGTGTCCCTCTGAGGGGTTATACTCTGAGGAGGTGCCAGGCAGGCAGATGGGGGAAACGGTGGGTCCCATTTTCACTGGATCTTTCAGCTGCACCAGGGCAATATCATTGTTAAAATTCTTTCGTCCCTTTGAAGGGTCCCGAGGCTCCCAGCCCGGGTGAATAATCACACGTTCAGCCGTGAGCATCTGTGCATTTTTCAGCCGGGAGCTCTGCACGGATGTGGAGCCAACATACATGGTCGGAGCATCATTGTCCTCCACAACGTGAGCGGCCGT